CAAGACGCAGATAGAGATTGGTTGCCGTCTGTTTTCACTCGTTCGTTTTGCCCAAAATATCTTGATTCATCAGCACCAGAAAAAAAAGTCAGCCAGTGAGACAGACAGACAGACACCAGACTCGATCTACCTACCTATCCTCGTTCATCCAGCAACGGATCACTACGTGCACTATTATTAACACAGCAGCCACAAACATAGGTAGACATCCGTCCGTTCGTTCATGCTTCCCGCCTCTTACTTCCCGACTCATTCAATGACTCCTGAATGCGCTGTATCGTATTCGTCAGCATCCATCTCTGGGCTGTCTCTCACCATGGACACTTCAGAGGGTGGCAGGGGGCCTTGAGGTGAGGTGAGGGTCTCTCGCTCCGGCCCGCCTCACTCAATGCGTTGGCAGTTGGCATTTTCTCCTGCTCAGCTAAGCAACATTAGTAGGTAGTTGCCCCAGATTCTCTTCTCTTCCTCACTCCAAATTCCCGTCTTACCATTCCCTTCTGAATAATTGTAAACTCAAAATACCATAGAGGACAGTCATGCCAGAAATTGAAGAGGTGGGGGTGGCTACTGTGCTCAAACCAGGGTCCTCACTCTTGCTGTGTTGTGCTTTGCTGGTCGTGGTGCTGAATGGAATGGATTATGGAGCCATCCCGCCCACGGCCACCAACAAGCAAGCGAGCTGGATGATGGAGTTTTCACTAAGCTTCGAGTCACTCTCAAAACCATGCTGGGGTATGCCTGTATTGATTCAACGGCCAAAACGATTGTCAGTCGATATGGTCTTTTAGATAGGAAATCTCTTCTTTCTAGTGTCGTCGACTACTCTTAGCCGTTAACACGGTCACGATATCGAAACTAGAGCGCATTATCGATGATGGCTAAAGGTAACTAGCCACCAAACCCCAAGATCTGGCTCATTTTCACCGACTTCAGCCATCAATTCAGACCAACCCATGTCAGGATTACACATGGACCCTGGCAATTCACTGAATTGTCATGTGAGTTGTCCCAGATTGTGAAACATTCGCGATGCAAAACACCAGCAAACAGTCGCTAAGCCATATATACATACATACATACATTCATTCATTCATCCTCCCTAAGTGAGGCGGTTAATCACTGGCTCGCTGTCGATAAAAGCTGCCCGCTAACTAACTTAGACGCTTTCCAATCCCGAATCCTAGCGACCCAGCAACCCGACCCAGCCCAGCCCTCTGCGCCGCCGAGAATGGATCTGATCTGTCGACATGACCCCAGATGGTGCCCTGAAAGCCCGCATTTGAGGGATTGTTGAGAGACTTTCGGGCGGGTCTGGGTGTTATCTTACAGGGAATGCCTTTGTATGACTGGCGCCAGTCCCAAGCAGTCAGGCCCAACTGTGGATCTTGTTCAGAGTCTTTGGTCCAACGATTCTTTTCGAATCTTCCTCGCGTTCGCTGTCTGCCAGTCACCAGCGATATCCGTTGTCAAAATCCGCGTTGCACACCTGGACGAGGCTGATGGCACACCCCTCCCAGACCAGATGAAGAAGAGGAGGATTGTGGCTCACTCTTGAGAAATTGCGGTTTCTTAACACAGAACAGAACTGCTTCGAATACTGCACTCGGCACTGTAAGCGGCTGGCTACATACAGACTTTGCTCCGTCCAGGATCTCGAGGAAACAACAAGAAACGTAACAGGGTTGTTCGCCGTTAGATGGACCGTTCCCGATAGGTGACAGGTAAATGACAGGCCCGAATCTCAACCGCTCTTCTAGGCAGATCGGGCTTGTGCACACATGGCACAAGGGCTTGACGAGGTAGGACAAGATACACAGAGTAGGATAGCCATGCCGAACTCGCCAAACGGCTGTGCCTCTGAGAAATCAATAATGGCCATTGAACCTCGTACAGCAGAGCTGAGAGATGCCCGATTATCCTCAAGAGGGGCGTAAAACGCCATCACGATTTCTCATGGTCTCCGTTGATCTACGCCTCCACCAAAGTGCCGTGTTTAGCCCGCCCCCGGAGCCTTCTTCACCTTCGTGCCTAACTGGGCGTAGACCTTTGCCCAAGCTGGCTCAATTCCCTTGCTCGGGTACCAACAATGAACCCGATCTACACCAAGTTAATGCCAGACGTGAGTGCAGCGCGGGGTACACGTGGGATATCGAAGCACTGCTGCTAAACCTGGTCGTGACAAGCTGTCCGCCATCCATGTCTGGGACTTGTGACTGGTTGTCACGATTGAGTTGAGGCTCCGGGCTTGGCCGTCTAAGTTTTGAGGTTATTGTAAAGTTGACTCATAGCAGGAGCAAGACTGTGTTTCATTTACTTGTGATAGTGCCTCTTTTCATGTCTCCGCGATTCCTCCTCAAAAGGTAAAGAATGAAATTGCTCAAGTGTGCTGTCACTTGTTTCATCGCGCTTGCGGCGCTGACGTTTCTATTTGACAGGTGTACTATAGGTAGATAGCTTTGCCGCAATGGCCATCCATGCTTGATGCTTGCACGGGCCTGGTGCCCAACCTCCAGCGGCCATATACAACGGCCGCGGAACCACTCCACGACCAAGTTCGGGCGGTTGGTCCCGCGCTCGGCGATGCTGCCGCCAGTTCATGCCCTGTTGTTTCCTGGCGATCCGGTCCAGCCTCCGTTCAAGCATCGTGTCGCACGATTCGTCACGGCATGTATACGTGTCCAACACAACTTCTTGCCCGGCCGAGCCCCGGAGCGAGTGACTCCACTCTCCCCGGCTTCACCTCCTTGTCCTTCCGCGCCCAGACCGGATTCCTCCGTCCTGCCACCGACGAACAACAAGCACAGGATCGCTTCAAACATGTCATGTGAGTTGTTTTTGTTTCATACTCCAAACCTGGATTCGGACGGTGACTTCGAGAACAACAACACATCTATACAATTGTGACTCCGTCGCCGTTTTTTTGCTGTGCCAGATTACCAAGCAGCCAGCGCTCTCGGACAACTGACATCGAGTAATTTTGATACTGTACTGAGTCGGTGACATCTTTATCAGCTGACCTCGATGAGTCGCAATCGAGAGGGGACACGCTGCTAACTCTTATTCGATCTACCCGTCCAATAATCGACATCTGTCGTCCCTATCCACGCCCCTGCACGGCCATCACCTTGCACCCTCTAACCTCATGTTTACCCTTTGCTTTGCACATTCGCCCACCAACTTCGCATGTCGATGTCTCGGATTTTAGACCTCGATGCAATATTCGGTCAACTCGAGGTTGTTGATTGGCTTCGTGTCTGCTTATACATGCCACGCTGACAGTTTGTGTTTCCCAAGATCTCTGGGACTATTACAAGCTCGCTGCTGTGTTGCCGCCGCTCTATCTTGACAGGCACGAAGACGATTGAGCATCTCCAGTTTGTGAATTGCCGGGTTCGAAGCTGCTGCTCGCTAAGCCAGACGGGGACACCTTTCAGCCGGGGTTCCCTCGGATGGCTTGCCTTGGCTTTCAGATTGTGTGGGGATAGGCTAGACGTGCATCCAAGGCATTGACGCAGCTCTACAGGGCCGTCAGCCGGCATGATTAGTTCACGATTCCGGCCATTCACTGAGGTTGTGTCTAATCATGTGTGGTTACCATCAGAATATGCGTTTATGAATGCGGCTCCCAGTGGCCAGTTGAGACAGTTCTGTACAGATCAAGTTGAAACAACTTGACAAGCAACATATCGTGAATCTCAAGACATCTCGTACTCCGATGACTGCCAGTTCTCCCTTCTCTCAACGAGTCAGACTAGTTCTGAACTACAGTGGGTAGTACAACTATATTAGTCTGTTCTTATGGATGACAAGCATAATTGCAACCATCAATGGCACAAGCATCCGGTACTAGACCGCGGCCAGGTCTTCCTAGTATCCTATTCCTGGGGCCGCGTATAACGGCTCGCCTGGAATATCTTCAAGAATACACTTGAGACAACAATAGCTCCTTGTGGTTGCATATCGCTGCATGAAATCCCATGTTGCATAGCACCGCTTGAAGATCAGTGGAGGCGACCGCTCCTTTGTCAAATCTACTGATTTCGACTTGTGATCAAGTTAGCACACTCAGAGAACGACGGTATCTATCGTGTCCCCGAACTCAACCATCGGCGCTGTGAACCACTACAACGTGAAGTTGGAGAGCGCCCCAAACCCCTCTTCTCCTCCACCATCTTCCACACACCGCTTTTTGGGTTTTGCCCCTCAATGCATCCAAACATGGGGACCATATTCGTTTTTGCCGAGCAGAGCCTCATCTTCCGAAGATTCCCATCTCGGACATGCCTCATTGGCATGGTGTCTCGCCCAGGCAGCCAGCCACGGTTACGGTGTTTTGTCGTTGATAGGTCAGTTTCCGATGCTCGGCCAAGAAGATGTAAGTCTGCGATAGCGAGATGCGTGTTACTCGCCGAGTTGCTATCTGTGCTTGGTTATGATCAACACCGTGATATCTATGGTTATGCATGTTTCCCGTTCTGCTAGCTTGCATGGCACTGCGGTTGAAAGGATGGGTGCGAGAACGGGTAGCTACCCAATCGTATCAGCTGCAGTCGATGCAGTGACTCTACGATCGATGGCGTGGGATTCAAAAGGTGGTGCTCAATCTCGTCATACATTGAGAGCGAGTTACATGCTCACGGTGGCTGTTGACAGACTTGTATAGCCACTAGAGATTTGATGTGCAAAGATAGCAGTCGAGGGCTCCTCATCCGACTATCAGTAATCAGGTATGTTTCAAGTGTCTGTCAAATATCAAACTATAACGTGGGACAACTCTTGGTGTATGAGTATTCCGGCGGCCACGACAACGGTGTCCAACAATGTCTCTGCTATATTGTTGTCATATATGCAGTGAAGCCAGCGCCACGGCATCCTCATCAAACATGCATGCACCATAATTGAGGTATTTAGCTATTGACACTCTGTAATTATGTGAAGAAGCATATGTCAACTTATCACAGACTGCACTCACGTTGGGCACAGTACCACCCTGTGCCCGATCAAACCACAATGTCCAAGTCTGACACGACAGGTCGATGGTCAGAAACACGAACGCCATCATCAAACCCATTGGCCAGAACCCCAAAAGTCTTGACATGAGCTGTTCTCGGCTCCTGGATGAACAGGAAGTCGATACGCGAGGGTTCCCACCCCTCCCCGAAGCTCGTGTACGTCGTTTCGTTGCCGTAGTGTTTATGCTTGGGCACCAGGTCCGATACGTCAGAGATGCCTGACCCAGACGCCGTGATTGTCTTGTACGCGCCATCCTCGGGCTCACTGTTGAAGTCGCCGCCGATGAGGACGGCTGACGCCTTCTTGTCGCCTGCTTGACCCCATTCTTTGGCGAACTTGATGAGGAGCTCGGCACTGTGCTGACGGGCCTTGACACCGATGTGGTCGAAATGCGTGCTGAATACTACGACACGGGTACCTGTGACTCGGTGTTCGAATTCTCCCATTGTGACGATTCGGTTCAGGACTGCATCCCAACCGCGAGAGGGCTTCTCGGGTGTCTTGCTCAGCCATCGGACCTCCTTGCGTACGTTCTTCCATACATCATTGCGATAGAAAATAGGAGAAAACTCTCCGTCCTCAGGTTTCTCTCCGCGTCCACGGCCAACATGCTTCCAATCAGAGCCCAGATCCTCCTGGATCTCGTTGACCTGGTGGTTGAGACATTCCTGGAGGCAAATGAAGGGGCTTTCATGGCCGGCGGTAACAAAGTTCAATTGATTGATGAGCTTAGGCCGGCGCACATCCCATGGTTTCTCATTATGTTCACGATTGTTCGTTGCGTAGCGAACGTTGAAGGTGAGGATGCGCAGAGGCATTCTCTGGTGCTTGTTGAGAACTTCCATTCTCAAAGATGCGGTCGAGGGGATGTCGAGTTGAGTCATTGTGGGGTTTACAGTGATGATATTGGAGCCTTGCTAAGAAGTGATCCTCGGTCTAGAATGGAATAAAGATAGGTAATAACTAGGAGTTTTAGGCTTGGAAGGGCAAAGACGAAGTTGTCGCGATACTGAATGTTTACCATGAGCGTCGTAAGTCGGGCCTGAGTGGACCAGTCACCAATCCAATGAGGTCATCACGTGGGGATACGTGCTGCGATAGGCATGGCGTCTGTTTACCCCAGATTCGATGCCGCAGGGGTCGACCCACAGCCACCAACTCTTCTGTCTCTGATATTAAGCTTGGTGCGTTGATGTTCTCAAGCAGGACCATACTCTGGCCTTGTGTTTTCTTAAATCAAGTCCCGCGTAGTTATTCTTCGATTTGCGTCCTTACAACAGCCAATCCCTCTCTTTTGCGTGGCTAAATGGGACTTGCTAATGAAGATGGGAGGACTGCACTCCAAGGGCTTGCCAAGTAATTCTTAAATTTCTGATCATATCTTACATACTAGTCGTCTTGTAAAAGAATTAATTTATGCCAGAGAAAGAAGTTCTCTCGCAAGGCTAGGTAGCCTTGTCAGAACGGATCATGAGTACCATCATTATCATGTTTATTGTGTCTTAGACATGTCTATCTCATCACAAAGGCACCTACAACATTCAGTGCTGTGGCCTCTTTGATGGCTTATTCTTGTCTATTGTTAGTATATGGGGTGAGACTCTTCTCTTGTCCAATGTGTGGTGCAAAGCGCAACGTTGGATGCAACACGTATTCATACATGAATGACAATTTCAGAATCGACCGCTGTGATGGAAATGCAATATCTTTTGAACGATTTCCTCTTGAATGACATGCAACTCTGCCTATAACTATTACATGGGACTTGCCATAGTCACTCAAGCTCGATGACCTGCCGTCGCCTTGAAAATCGCCACCCTATACCAACCCTCGTGAGCTTCGGCTTTTATCGCGATCATGGCACCGGAACTCCACAATAGCACCTTAACAATTCATTAGACTGCTAGGGTCGCTAAATGGGCATATATTCAGCACATATGGTCTTTCATTTATTGTAAACAATTCAATTTGCCAGAACGCTTACGACATGACACTTATTCATAACCATGCTCCACGTAACTCACAGCACTAGTAGGAGATAAATACAATTATCCGAGCCTGGTTCATGTCGTGTTTCTCATAGTAATTACTGACTTGTAGAAAGTGTGATCTTCTTCAATCTTCGGATATAAGTGATGCCATGCCCCATCATCCTATGATTCGAATAACCTGACATGCCAAATAGCTGTTGTTCAATAGTTCAAAGCCTCACGACATACGGTTAAGATTGAAGTGGATGCCAGGTTGAACCAGTCCATGCATATCTGGAAAGGCGTATACAGCTTTCCTGACGATGATCAATCGTTAATCCTTAGTTTGCTCCGTCTTGGCACGGCGAAACGCCATCTTTCCATGGGCACGCACTCAGGGATCCTTAGTGTCACATACAAAGCTCACTTGGCTATTGACTCCATTGATGCAAAGTGCAATCAAAGATAAGTCACAGTGTTTCGTCTCTTTACCTGGAGCAGCTCAAGGATGGAAGTTATGGATGGCTCTTCCATACAATGGTGAGATATTCCACTTACAATGCTGCGGCACTGGTGTTTAGGCGTTTGCAGAGGTAAATATCCGTGATATATCGAGCTACTACACCAAATCAACTGCACTACGGACAATATAGTAGTGTCTATGCTTTGTTTTAGCCTTGACAGACAGAACTGAAGCTCAAGGCGTTGAAGCTTTTGTGGTAGGGGCGGTACGGCAGGTCTTGCGATATACTTTCAGTCACAATCCATACCAAGTAGAATAGCTGTACGCCATTCCCGTATACAAGCAACATTGAGTTGAGGTCTATCACCGAAGCGGCAGCGAGTGGCTCATTTAGGAATCATCGGAGCCAGAATCACTGTAGGTTTGTCTCCCACCATCACAAAAGAGCTGTCAATTGTGTCATTTTATCAGTCGAAGCGCAAAAGAATTTTGACGGGAAATGTCGTAAACGTTAGCCCAAGGTAGCCTACTGCTTGTAAACTTATCCTTCGACTACGATATCTCTTGTTTCGAGATAAGACTTGCTTTATGCATCATTGAGAGGCAGAATTACTATGGAAATGATCCATAGTCGGAAGCCTTTACTTGCACATCGACTGACATCTCGCTATAACAGGCGAATTACCGTCAGAGTCAGCTGTGTCACCGCAAGGACCTGCAAGCTTATCTTCGCTTATGGCATGGCTCAGACGGTAACCAGTCATAATTGATAGACCCTGGTAAGAAGTCTACTGCGGCTGAGATTGAGTGTGGCCTCCGAGAAATAGTGGATCATCACCCGAAGGGTTTCCGGGTCTAGACCCATAATTGCGGCCCGTGGCCCGGGTCTTCAACCAGAAAAGGCATATTCTTCGGTGGGTGGGCGTTTCAACTATTGCTTTTAGTCAAAGTTTACTTGCGAACATATCTTGAATTAGCTACGGGACGCATCGACGCCGTTCGGAACGGCACATGCCCACTTGAATTGAGGTCTAACGAGAACAGACAAGGTCCCGTCTTACCATGCACGGCCGAACTTTAAGTGGTGATTCATGGCTTGATACCATGTGGTCTCAAAATTGAAGCATTTACACGATAATGACGGCCAAATTTGTCATGTTTCGAGGAGAGATACCTCTTATCGCCGCGTGTCTCTCAACTTGGCAGTGTAAAAAAAAAAAAAAAGGCGGGCCTAGGCGTGTTGGTGGCTGCGCGGGGCCATGGGTGAGGTGATCATAAGACCAGGGAGGACCACCAGATTGGATCAAAGCAGGATTGGACATTGGAGATCTGGGGGAGGCTAGAAGAGGCTAGAGAGGCAGAGGCTGGCTGGACTTTTGCTGATGGGACAATTAGAAATCCATCTTTTCTTTTCGAGGCAGCCTACACAGGACAGGCGCCCGTTCACCACACCCTTTTCTCACTCATGGCATCTCCGGACTTGCGTGCTAATCCACGTAATCGTTGATGATCGTCGCAAGGATCCAACATCAACATGGGTGTAGTTATTGATAACTTGAATCAATAGAGGCTGCCTTCGTTTTTGACTCATCATTCTTACCTCACAACTGCGTATTACTCAACCCCGTCCTTGGCCGAAGCACCCGACCCTCCAGTTCACGACGCCCAGCTTTCAACTTGATTGCCCTGCAAGCCCATGGAAAAGAAAAGTTGGCAGTAGAACAGTAGAAAGCCCCGCGTGCTTGACACCCGACTCAAGCATGATGGCCCAAATATGGAGTCTTTGCGGATACGCTATCCAAGCTGCAAGGCACCATGCACAACAGACAGGTCCGGATGGCCTCAATGCAATCGATCTTGCAGGAAATGCCCGATCGTGAATTTGAATCATTGTTAGTTCCTGGGGAGTTCAGCATGACTACCTCGCCATAGTCCGGTAACGCAGGTGGAGCTGAGAGACGTGAAGGCACAGTCAGATGAGATGAAATGGCCTTGTTGGTGGTGTCGACCATGTCTCACTTGATATAGCATTCTCCGGAGAGTGTCACCGACCCCGCGACCGAGTTTGTCAAGGAAATGCCATCGCAAATGTCCATGCCCAAGCCAACCTCCATGTTCATGTGAGCGAATGAGATGCCATAATTCAGGCCAACTATGGAGGCATCTCACCATCTTTTTTGTTTCTGTCGATCACGGCAGATCGAGTTGGCTGCCCTTTTGTGGTTTTTACTGGCGGCTGCAGCGCTAGACCGTGGACCCTATGTGCATTTGAACCTGTTTATCACTACCAACTCGAGCCCGTGGCATCCAATATTGTAGCCCAAAGAGCTGATTTATCGTCAGCCACCAACTTCTCTCAGCTCGTTTCTCTTGATTATCAACCCGCTAACTCAACCCATGACTTCCATTTTCAGACCCGGCGCCTCCCGATTATCCTATCGACGGGCCGCGTGGCGTCGTGCGCGCGAGACTCTACAGGTTCGTATTCATCTTGGCTGGATAGCTTCACGTGCGATGATAGGCAACCCCGCCTATTGGAGGCCGATGACCACCCATAGTGCTCGGAGTCCTCTGCCTACCACTCACAAGGCCCTCGGGGTTTACAAGAATTCCATGATATGACTGGGACATGGACCGCTTTTGGAGATACAGCCCTGTTTTGGGTGTGGGTTCTTGCAGCCCTTTCTTCCTTGGCCTTATTTCGATGCCTTGAAAGGTACCGCACGGCTGATGCCTGTGTCTCAGATAGTGTATGTGCAGTAGGCTATGAATTGGAATGTGAGCTCGTGGGGAGGCTTGTTTATCTGGCTGGCTGACTGACTGGTATATAGGTGAGGCGTGCTCGCCCGTTCGTTATATTGCCTCTCTGAGTCCTATACCGTCGGCCTTCTTCGTGTTCTGTTCAGTCCTCTCACACAACGCACAAAGAAACTCTTCTGCCTGCGGTGAGTGACTCCAAAGGGTCTTCCATGGAAAAAACGTCAGGGCATCCACTTCCCAGCCTTAAGACAACCGGTCTTTGTTTCGCCTGGTTCATACCTGTTTTTAACACCAAATCGCGGTGAAGCTCTCTAGCACCTACCCATTTCACTTACAAAGAGGTCCCTGCATACATATATACCTCGCAGGCCTCAGTAGACCCTTTGACCAAATCAACTTTACTTTACTTCACTCGAAATTCATTCTTACGAATCTCCACTATGCCGACCGAGTCTGAGATGCGGTCTCGTCGAGACTCTTGGCCACCTGTCCAGATGCGCCTCAAGCCTACCCTCTCTACCAAGAACCGGCCCCTTCCATCTCTTGATGATATCGATGATGACCCTCTTACCTACTTTCTTACACCAGCGCCTCTTCTTGACGACGATGATATGGACGACGTCTTGCTAGACTTTGATGCGGGTATTGAGGATGCCAGTTCTCCTCGACCCTTTGTCCGCAGTGTAAGTCC